AGCAAGGAGTTCTCACCCAAAAATTTCACATTAAGGGTATTCAAAGAATTGTATGCACATAAGCCTTTACAAATGCTAGTAGAAAGGATCATGGAAAAATTGAGAGCGGCAGAGAGAAGTGTGACGGATGACCACCCATGTCACAGTCCCCTAGAAGAGGCTGCCTTCCTTCCTTCACTCAACAGTGAGCTGTTCATGAGGCCCAATAGAACCAGTTGTTCCTTTACTGAAAACAGCTGACCATCAAGTCTGAGGACTGTATATTCAGTTGTCTACATGTCTGCAACAAATGGCCTTCATTACTATTTATGAAAAAGGAAGTGCTATTGGATAGTTTTATTCCCTCTGACAATTTAAAGTCTAAAAAATTGTTACAAATGAATAATGCTTCACATTTTAAGAATGTAATTTTAACTTAAATGTAATAAGGGCGTAAATTAAGGCACGAGGGCAAGTGTGAAAAAGTAAATGGATAATATTTCTACTATGTATTAGACATTTTCAAAAGATTTTTAATTTTCAGAATGCTTAAAGGAGACATAGATTCCCACCATTTTTTAAAATAAGAAAATTCCTGCCATCTTGAGAAATAAGCTAAAATGTTTATATTTATTTTTCCTTTATAATAGTAATACTGGTATAGTTAGTGCAGCAGTAGCTGTATGTATGGACAAAAGACATGTTCACATTTCTTTTATTTTTAAAAAATTTATAATCACATAAAAGAAAATTTGGCAAATTGAGAAGAAAAATATATCAGCAATGGTACCATCAATCCACTATAACTTCTTAGTATGTTGGTATAATATATAACCTTCTTTCTCTGCATTTTTCTTTGTATAACTACTACTAATCTTGCTTGTTATCTAACAGTAATGATTATGTTGAATGTTATTGCATAAGAGATTTATTTTTTAAAAACTAATTTTTGAAGATTTATTTAAAATTGAAAATGAAGCTATTTTCAGGCCCTAAGATAAATTTCTTGATTCACTGCTTTGCTTTGGTCAAACCTGTAATCAGCATCTGAGTCTGAATCGATCTTTGATTTTGTAAGTATGATAAGTAATTAACAACCAAAACTCATTTTCAAATTAGAGCTAGAAATGAACTCCATGAGATTTCTGTTATGGGAAGTAATTTTTAGATGTACCAGAATTGGCATGTGCTTTGGTTACCATTGCTTTTCTCTGCATAGAGAAGCGTAGGACACAGGAAAGGGGAGAAGGAGGTAATATGGGAAACACTGCCTGTGACACCCCTACATACGCGGTTTTCCCGCCCACTCCACAGACTTGACTCCTTGCTCTTACTTGGTGTGGTCTCTTTGTACCTTCACCCTGAGCCAACTCTGCTAGAACAGAACAATGTTTTACTCTATTCTGCTTCCCCAAGATCTAGCCGGGTTTCTAGCATGTAGTAAGCCCTTAATGAACACCCAATGACCAGAGGAAGAGAGGAAAATATGTAAACATACCGAGCATGAGAGAGGACAGGATTACACCAGGATGTTTTGGGCTGTAAGTTACAGAATATCAAGTACAAATGGCTTAAAAATAAGGACATTTTTTATTTTACATGACACACAAGTTCAGAGTCAGGGCAGTTCCAAGGTTGGTTATGCAGCTGAACAGTGTCGTGGAGGACCCAGATGTTTTTCATTTTTATACTCAATCATCCTCAGAATATTGGTGATTTCTTCCGTTATCATTGCAAGATGGATGTAGGAGTTGTAGATGTCATTCATACACTTGACCATGTCCAGCAAAGAGTCAGTTTCCTTCTGTGTGTATCTATTGATGACAGAGAAAAAACCCTTTCACAGATGCTTCTAATTGACTTCTACTCATGCCTTGACTGACAAGGGCTACTGGGTAGACACCAACAGTGACTGGCACAGAAATGCCAGAGGAAGCAACCATAGGGAAGAGGAGAAAGATATACCATAGGAAAAAGAGTAGCAACGGAGGCAGGATGAAAGTCTGTAGTAGGTGTAATATAGTATGGCGTGCATTCTTTAGGCCTACTGTATTTTTACCTGTATATACACTGCTTTATGCCTTATATGTGTATGAAGGTAATAGAATACCATCATTTATAAATAGCAGTGTGTTTCTGATCCCAGTTTTTATAGGACCATATAAATCTGGAGATGTGATGTATATGAAATCTCAAGTACAGAATTGGTAGGCCCAACCCATGTTCTTGGAAGCTTCATTACCTTCACAGTAAATATTTCTCCAGCGCCATCCCCAGCCTTCCCCACATTTACCATCACTACTCTGGAGAGAATAGAAAACAGCTGAGGATGGGACTAGGCAACAAGTCAGAAGAACAGAGTTTGCTTTCTTATTAACATTATAGATTTCAGGAAAAGGAGGATATGGCACTCTAACAGTTATTCAAGGAAAGGATAAAATGCATGGGAATTACAAAGATAGTTGATTTTTTTTAAAGAACCTTAGTGTTTATTAATAGTACTTTTATTTTTTATTTTTTAAAAATATTTTATATGACAGAGAAAGAGAGCACAAGCAAGGGGAGCAGCAGAGGGAGATGGAGAAGTAGGCTCCCTGTTGAGCAGGGAGCCTGATGCTGGGCTCGATCCCAGGACCCTAGGATCATGACCTGAACAACCCAGGTTCCCCTATTAATAGTACTTTTAAACAGTTGTAGTTTACTGCACATTCTTACTCCTAGTAAATAGAAATAAAAGTGAGCAAACATAAATAAACTACTCTTTATACTCTCCCAAAATAAATGCAGCCTGTTTCAGATCTCACTCAACTTACAATAGGGTTATATCCTGGTAAATCCTTTGTAAACTGAAAATATCCCAAGTTGAAAAGGCATTTGCTACACCTAACCTACCGCACATCACAGCTTAGCCTAGCCTACCTGAAACATGCTCAAAACACATTAGCCTACAGTTGGGCAAAGCCATCTAACACAGAGCCCATTTTATAATAAAGTGCTGAATGTGTCATGGAATTTATTGAATACTGCACTGAAAGTGAAAAATGGAATGGCTGTGTGGGTGCAGCATGGTTGTAAGCGTATTGGTTGTTTAGCCTTGTGATCCTGTGGCTGGCAGAGCTGAGGCTCACCACTGCCCAGCATCACAAGAATATTGTACTGTGTATGTATCACTAGCCTGGGAAAGGATCCAAATTCAAAATTCAAATTGCAGTTTCTGCTGAATGTATATTGCTTTTGCACGATCATAAAGTTGAAAAATCTTAAGCCAAACCATCCTAAGTTGGGGACTGTCTATGTATATATTCCAGGTGCCCTTAAATATGTACACATAAAGTTGATATTACCATACAACACCTGTATAATTTGGACTGAACTGAATTAAGTTACTATTATATTATGTTACTATATTATGTTAATTAACATAAAATATGAAAATTATATCTATAAATTACATATAATATCACACTTTATGCTTTCTTTCCATTTCCCTTGGGTGGGGGTGGTAGGAGAGATACAGTAATCACCTGTTTCACCTGCTGGCTTATTGGTCTTAAGGCAATTGCAGCAGAATCCCAGAGAAGCGTCTGAGGAATCTGTTATATTGTGACGTTGATATTCCAGTCTATGGCTGTTGTCTTTTTTTTTAAAAAAAAAAGGTTAAAAAAAAAAAGACGCAGGAGCTCATCCTCTTACCTGCCTCTTGTTCTTGAGATTACATGTTAACTTCCCATTGTAGTTCGTATTTCACGTTAGATTTTTTTAATTGCAGTATATTTGCTAATCAACGTAGTGTTAATTTGTAGAAGTGTGTCATCTGTACCAGAGTTGAGTGAGTCTGGCACATAATAACCTTTGATTGATACATGTTTAATGAAAGGATGAGTGAACCATTTATATAATACTAGAACTTCTAAGATAATTATAATAATTGAAGGAAAACAAATATTGGACACTATAACCTGTATTTTCTAACATTATTTCCTTCTAGAAAATGTGATATCACCAATCTTTTGAAAAATTAACACTGTATTTTTTTTAATTAAAGACTTTAAGTGATATGCTAAATAGATATCTTAGCTTGACTATTAAGACATAAATTGCCAAGGCACTACAAATCTGGGAAAATGAGAACATAATTTGAAAGGAAGAGGTTCTAGAAATGGGTATATGTGATCTAGTAAGAGAGGCCATGAATACAATGAGGGGAGAATCCATAACTATGTATGGTGTTTTATGCTTCTCAAAAGACATTTTTTACATATATTTTTATGGGTCTGCCTGCTCGTTTCCCATTCTCTATAATTTAAAATGTGTTATTTTTATAGCTGTTTGTCTTGGACACACAAGCAAATCAACATGTATATTCAAAATATTTTATTTCTGATGTGAAATGGTTATGATAAATTTATTCCTTTATCTAAACATTAACATTTACATATAAAATATGTTGTTCTGTTGTAGATCTCATTTTATATGTACAATGAAAATGCACCTTTTAATTTCTGAATAAGTTAAAAAAATCTTTTAAAAGTACTATAAGATGAAAGGAATTTAAAAATTGACATTATTGGCACAAGATTCATGTTAATGTTTACTCATGTAAATAGCACAAAATACTGCCTAATTAGTGTGGTTGGTAAATTTTTGGTACTTTAATTTTCTCTGCTATTGTAAACCATGCATAAAATGCTTGCCTATTGAGAAGTGCAGAATTGTCAGAGCTTAAACAGCTGACATCTGCTTACTCTCTTAAAAAAAAAAAAAGAATAACAAGCCATTTCAGCCTAATCTACCTCAAATGTGTTCATGTAAATGGAGGTCCATCTATTGACCTGTATTCTTTTCAGCTCAGGATTGGTCCACATGGTTTATGAAACCAGAAAGGCTGATTTGAAATGCAGATGTCGGGACAGTGAAGTACACCCTCCCCTTTTTCCTTTGCTGTATCTGTCAGGGTGAAAAATGGCTTGCACAAGGGTCAGTCACCCATACTCACTTAATTACTTTTCTTGGACCCACAGAACTGTCACAAGCTGTGGTGGATGCGGGAGCTGTTCCTCTTTTAGTACTCTGTATCCAGGAGCCAGAAATTGCTTTGAAAAGGATTGCTGCTTCGGCCCTCAGTGATATTTCAAAGCATTCTCCGGAGTTAGCACAGACAGTAGTGGACGCAGGAGCTATTGCTCACTTAGCCCAGATGATCCTGAACCCTGATTCTAAATTAAAGGTATTTAAAAATAAAGTTAAAAAAACAAACAAATCAGGCTTCTGATTACCTAAGAAAATAGAAATGTGGGTAGATTAATATTACACATTTAAAAATAATTAGAAAATTTATCATTGAAAACAGATAGGGTATGTTATGTATTTGGTCTTTTCATATGTGAATCTTATGCTATAAAGATCAGACAGTGGATGGACCTATCTGGTTAAAAGATGTCCAATGCTGAAAACTAGGAGTAGCATCGGTATTAACATTACTCATCAAAATAAGGAATTACATAATACTGAATCTCAGGGTTGGAAAGGATCTAAAGGTCTTCTAGCCCACCACTATTTTATGTAAGTTTCTTATGAAAATTGCCATATTTATCTTAGTCTTTTTATAGCTTTCTAAAATTTGATTTTCAGTTAATAGTTAATTATACTTTCCCATTCTAGTAGTTACATTTTATAAGATTCTAAAATTGTTAATGTTAACTAAGAATGGAAAGTTCTTTGAAATGTTATCAGCATGATGCCAAAAATAAGATGTTACTTCTGCTTGATCATTTTTGTACTACATGTATGATAAATTGACAATGTAAATATTAATTAAGAAATACTATTCATCCAAAGGTCATATTCTTCGATCATCTGCATAGATAAGAGATTTAAAGAGTCCACAGAAGAATGAAGGCATTTAATTTGGGAATTAGGGAATTTAAGAAATTGAGTGTCTAGGTATAAGACTAGGAATTGACAGTCTCAAGAGTCCTAAATCTAAGGTTCTGTTAGAAAAGTAATTGTTTTTTCCTTTTTATAAAGGAATTTGAGTGTGTATAAAGCTGTTTAAATCAGAACTCTGCAGCAAGCTCTATGTCATGTTTGGTTTTATTTTGGTTTTTGCTTAACAGAATCAGGTTCTTTCAGCTCTTAGTCAGATTGCAAAACATTCTGTGGATCTGGCAGAAATGGTGGTGGAAGCAGAGATTTTTCCAGTTGTACTTACCTGCTTGAAGGACAAAGACGAATACGTGAAGAAAAATGCTTCTACTTTAATTAGAGAGATTGCAAAACATACGCCTGAGGTAAAAAAAAAAAATTAAGGTTTTAAAATACAGTAATATATAGTTAGTTTTAGGATTTAAACAAAACATCAACTTGTTTACAGGGCGCAAATGCTGTGCCACATGATCTGATTAGCTCAGGGCTTCTCATCCTCAGCACTATGGACATTTTGGAATAGGTAATTGTTTGTCGTGGGGGGCTGTCCTGTACATGGTAGGGTGGATGTTCAGCAGCATCCCTGGCCTCTGCCCACTAGATCCCAGTAGCACCCCAACCCCATCCTGATAAAAATGTCTCCATATATGGCCAGAGGTTTCCCAGGGGGTACAAGTGCCCCTAGTTGAGAACCACTGGATTATATCAATGGAATTTGAGTCTAAAATCTCAGTTTTTAACAATGTCCTGCTTTCCATTTCTAGATGGTGGGGGGCGTGGACTTTTGTCATCCTTGTCATTCTAGGTCAGCTGGGAGTAGTGAGAGACAGCATGCCTCCAGGTCTGAGGAGACCACCAGGCCCACAGCCTAGTATAACTTCTGTACTACTTGAGTTCTCAGATGCTGAAGGAGTAGAGATGAAGAAAATCTGGGTGGATTCTGAAGTTGTATCTTTTTCTGTGTATATTTTGACTAATCAATTTCATTTCACGAAACTTTAAAGTCCTCATTCTTTATATCATCTAACATCTTCATTTGGTTGAGATTTTTCAAGATTGAAGTGCAATCAGCTAGTAGTCATTGCTAGCAAAGGGGGGATAATTAGGCTAGAATAGTTCAAGTCTGACACTGTCTTTTAGCATTCAGTGATTAATGTGCTTCATACTCACACGTTGTGATTGGGGGTTTCAGTAGTTAGCTAGTTATGAACTAGCCCTAGGCTTAGTGTCTAGGTGAGGAATTTTGACATCTATTGCAATAAGGATAAAAGTTGTGCTATGGATTCATGAAAAACTGAACCACAGATTGGCTCCTCACAATGAGTATGTCTGCACATTTGAAATAGCAGGATTATTCTACTTATATATTCCTTAATGAATACAACAATCTCACTAAATGGTATTTCAGATTTCACCAGGTGGTTTTTAGGTCCTAAATAAAAAAAATTGGGCAAGGCTAAAGTTAAGATTTAAAGATAATCTCATGCTTCATGGTCACGATGCTCTGACTCTCCTCTCCTCCTAGCTTTCGCAGTTGATCGTTAACGCCGGAGGAGTGGCTGCCGTGATTGATTGTATCGGGTCCTGCAAAGGAAACATAAGACTGCCTGGCATCATGATGCTTGGTTATGTAGCGGCTCATTCTGAGAACCTGGCAATGGCAGTGATCATTTCCAAGGTCTGTGTTTGTTTCGTTTCCTCTAGTTATTGCAGTGAGATGTGCTAACACAGAACCACACGTGAATGCCCTCCCACAGAGTATAAAATAGAACTGACCGGGGTCAAAGAATTACCTCAGAAAATCTTCAGCTTTTTTTCAAGGCTTATTAGTAAGTTTCCCAAAGCAATGCTTGAAGTAAGGTTTACTTTGCAGAAGTTTAAAGTTTTAGCCAGTGTTCAGTATCGACAAACTATCAACACTTCCGAGTTTTAGTATTATCTGTACTTAAATATTAAGTATCTATCTCAAAGGATTGACAACATATTTACAGACATATAAAGCAAACTTTGATTAAAAACAACTGTTTTAGGGGTGCCTGGGTGGCTTAGTTCGTTGAGCGTTGTCTCTTGGTTTTGGCTTAGGTCATGATCTCGGGGTCCTGGGATCGAGCCCCACGTCGGGCTCTATGCTCAGTGGGTAGTCAGTCTGCTTGGGGATGATCTCCCTCGCCCTCTGCCACTACCCACCCCCCAACCCCTGCTTGCACAAGCTCTCTCTAAAATAAATAAATAAATAATTTAAAAAAATACAGCTGTTATAAATGACATGCCTGATACTCGTTTTCATTATTCTCTGAGGTCTATACATTACCCCCTTTCCTGTCATTTGGGTAAGAGATGACAAGGCTAGGACATCCCTTCTTTATCTACCTTCTCTCTGTCAGCTTTCATGAACTGATTTCTCTTCTTAGATGGAGGCAATTCAGAGCACACATCAGATAGTAATGTTTTTGTTTCCTTGCTCTAGGGATTTGGCCTTATCTCAAGTAGGTATTAACCCAGCATGGAGTGTAGCCTTGGCACGTAGTAGGTGCTCAAAAAATATTTGTTGAATGAATAAATATTGATCTCCCAAAGAATACTTCAAAGGCTGTATGCTTACAGTGTCTCTGGCAACCCTCTAGGGTGTGGGTTTCTTATCAGCATGGAAAACCTGCTGCTGTGTGCTAAACAGAAGTGGGGGGGGGTTGTTTTTTTCTTTTTTTTATCTCTTGCTAATCCTCAGAATAAAGAGGAACCTCAGATCTTTATTTTCTACCAATTCCTTGATAATTCTGTGCTTCACTCCCATTTATCCTGCGCTTTTCCTTTTGTTCTTCTATTACCAAAGACTATGACAGTGACCAGAGCAGTAGGGCTTTCTGAAGGGTCGCCATGGGGATATTATTGGGATTTTTGATTTGCAGTTCTTTTGTGCATAGTCAGAAAGCTTACACGTAGGAAGAAGGATGAAAGAAGCAATTACTTTTGCTTCCTGTATTTCTTCCCCCAACTAACCAGGAGGCGCTCCCCTCCTTTGGTCTAGGGTTGCCGCTGGCCTCTCCCACCTAGTTTGCCTTTCAGTTAGTGAAGATTGGGATGGTGGCGGCAGCAGTTCGAGGCACGCGAATGGGCTGCATGACTCTTTCCTTGTCCTATGGGGCACTGTAAGGACCAGTAACAACAACTCCCATTTACGTCACACTTTATAATTCTCAAAGCACATTCATGTTCCTTATATCATTTGATAGTCATAACATTGGAGGCCCATAAGTCAGAATTTGGGGGATGGGGATAAAGGTGTCTTCTCTTCCTCTGCTTCATTCGTGATATATCCCAGAAGTATGGGGTTTCTGGAAGTTGCCTCATTCTGAAGACAGATCTGACCTTTTTTGTATTGGCAGACACACATTTTTAGTTGTAAGAAAGAAGCCAATGAAGAGATATGGCAGGTTTCTTCAGGAAATCAGTCTTACTAATAACTGAATTTTAAGGTGGACAAAAAGAAAATATACATCATCACTTGGCCTTTGCTATGGAGCCTGACCTTGTGGTAATGGCTTTTGTGATACTAAATTTAAGGTGATAATTATTATAGTCTCAAATTCATTAGAAAATTATGCCTATATAGAATCTGGAATTATAATTTGATTTGGTTATTTGAGTCTTCCTTGGGAATATAACTCTTTAGTTAATTCTGTTTTGATTACTGAGATAAAATTGAAGCCTGTGTAAAATATAAGTACATGATATCTATGTAACAAAAGTAATCATTCTATTTTGACATTTAATCATGTTAAAATGGGCAAAACTATCATTTAAAACTTGGCCAAAATACATGAAAATTATTTACTATTTCAGGAAAGTTTTTAGTGAATCTATTTCATCTAAAAGTTACTTAAATAGGATTCTTGCTCATTCATTTGATTTTGGATCTATAGTGGTTATTTTGTTCTCAGATCTATTATACTTGGTGAAAGACATTTTTTTTAAAGGATTCTAACTTTTTAAATAAAGGACAATAAAAGGTTTTAAAATCCTGAACACTTTTATTTTGTCACATTGGAATCTGGTTTTGCCTATAATATACTAGTCTGGGGCATCTGTTGTTTGGTTAAATGCCTCTCTATTTGGGGAGTAAATGCTAGCAGAGATATTCTTAGTTTAGTTGGATTGTTACAGATAATTAAGGTAAATTAGTTCTAGTCGTTTTATTGACTTGAAAAATGACAGCCCCTGTGATGTGCTCATTTATTGAACTGTTTAGGAAAAAAAGGATCAAGGCCAAAATGATTTCTTCTAATGTTTGAGAGACATGGAAGACTCTTTAATCCTGCTCTAGATTCATAACACTTGCGCTTTTGATCAATGCTGCAGGGTGTGCCCCAGTTGTCAGTCTGCTTGTCAGAAGAACCAGAAGATCATATTAAGGCTGCCGCTGCTTGGGCCTTAGGACAGATTGGGAGACACACTCCAGAGCACGCCCGGGCTGTTGCAGTCACAAACACCTTGCCGGTTCTGCTTTCATTGTACATGTCAACAGAAAGTTCCGAGGATCTTCAAGTAAAAGTAAGTGCTTACTCTTTAACAGTTGTATGAAGATTTGTTAGATTTGACTCATTCTTAAAAATATGTAATTTTAAATGTTTTAATTATCATTATGGATAATATTGATTTTATTATTTGAGAAATAGAAATTTATCAGAAGAACTGAGGTGGCTTTTCTTTGAAAATAGGTTACCCTTATCTCTAACAGTGCTATCTATAGTTTAAAGGAAGTTCTCTATAGGTGCAAAGTGGGTTGTAAAATGAACGTCTGGTTTTCGCATTCTACATTCATGTTGACTTTTCTTATGGAATAGGAATTGAATAATAGGATTTTGAAGGTGGAATTAGAACTTTAGTCCAGTTAATATTAAAAAATTGAGTCCAAAAGAATTTAAGGCACTGTCGAAAGACATGATGCAACTGGTCAGAGGGTATTCCTGAATCTATGATTTACCTCTCCTAACTCTGCTCGATCTTTTAATTATATGTTTTGTGTTTGTTCCTTAAAAGAAAAATGTCCATAAATTCACTAAGTTAAACATTTTTAAATCATGTGTTTTTTAAAAAGCAAGGTTTCTTAAAAAAATATTAACTACTAGAATGATTCACAAAACATACATTTAATTAGGATGGGTTATTTAATAATTTTAGAATTTCAAAGAAAGAAAAAAATGTTTCCCAGCATAACTCCCTTAAAAAAACATGTACCTTTTTTGAAAGCAGTTTTCAGAATTGACTTAGACTGAGGAAAGTACACAGAAAAGATAATAATAATTCAAAATAAAATTAACAAGAGTAAGTTAAATGACATTTAAATTAAGTTAAACAATAAATTAACAAATAGGAAAGCACATTTCCTGAAGCAACTTTAGATGGTATAGTAAGGCAGGAAGTTTACTCGAACTATATAGCTGAGGGACTCTGAAAATATATAGTGAGTCATTTATTGGATTTATAAATCTTATAAAGGTGAATTTATGTTTATTTGGTTATGTTTATGTGTTATTTTTCTACACATTCATTGAGGGAATTTCTAACATTAACATTTTTTCAATTTTTATAAGACTTTCTAGATCAAAGAAATGACTTAGTAGATTTGGGGCTTCCTTACATTTCTCCACAGTGTTGAGTATATTCCTTTACAATGCTTGGTAGAGAGTACGATTGACAATATGCTAAGGCCTTTCCCTGTTTAACAATTCTGTGATTCTTTGGCTTTCTGGTGAGAAACCACAATTACATTTCTGGTTTTGAGTTGTCCAAGTACAGCTGATTTACATGTGTATAATTTTAGCTTATACATGCAGTTCACTTTTTGCCTCATATTTCTTTAACCCATTATCATGCTTGCCTTTTTGTCCTCCCTCTTCCCTCTCATTCCCACCCCCGACCTCCTCCTCCTCACTCCTCCTCCCTCCTCTCTCTAGTGGTCCAATGACTATGGTCTCCTCTGCAGGGTCTCTGCAGGTATAAGCTGTGCCCAAAATATAATAGTAATCATGTTCAACTTCTAGATTATCACGAGGTAAATTATTAATAGTCTTTATCACTTTCAGATTCCTGCGTGTAACAACTTTTATTTTCCTTTAAGTTTTGGAAATAAAGGAATATATCAGCTACAGCATGAATAATTAATAGTGGAATCAATAGTAATCGTAGTTTGAGAAACCCTTGCAAATAGTGTCTTAGGTAGCACTAAATACTTTTTATATACTACTAAGTTTACGTAACTTGGTTTTTAATGAATTATTATGCTGTTTTGTCGTATAAATATGAGTAAAATAAGTTTGAAAACTTCACCTTTTGAAGTAAGATCATTTTTATTGTGTGTAAGTTTAACAAAAGTAGTTTTATCAAAACATTCAGGTTTATTAATAGAAGTTAAGGTTCCTTCTGCCTGTATTTGATAGAATATTTACTTTCAGGAAATACAATGGGTATTAAATTAAAAAGTGGGATCTTTATTAATCATTATCCTGTCAGCAATCCTTCCAAGGCTTTAAGTCCATCCAAATATTTTCATATTGTAGGGACTTATTATTTTTGCTTCCGCAAGCTTTCTTGGATTCTAACATTGGTTGTTTTAAAGGATTTAGAATGAAAGTCCAAGTCTGTTTGATTTGACATTATCTCAGTAGGGAAAAATGTATCCAAGAGCTTTAGGAACTGTCTAATGGTATTTCTCATTTGTTACTCTGTGGCAGCTTTCAAATTAAAGGCCATGTTGAAGTTCATTTTGTCCCAAAGGCATGTCAGCTTCTGTAAGCACTCTCTAATTGGTTCTGATCCAGGAGAACCAATGAGCAGTCCCTTGGAATTGCTCACGTTTTCACATAGCTTTATATCTGCTGCACCTTATTAAAAATGGAAAAAAAATCCATCTTTTATCTAATAAGCTCACCTACATATATTTTGAAAATATTCGCACAATTGCATTTTCATATGTTTTGATTTAGAGGCATCATATTGAAATGGTCCATCTTAGTTTGGCATTTGAGTAAGTTCATTCTATTACCTTAGTTATGAAAGTATTTCTGAGGTTATTTAATTATTGTGTTCTTGTCATCATGGTTGTTTCCCTTCATTTTTTTAACAGCTTTATTGAAATATAGTTCATATGCCATACAGCTTGCCCATTTAAAGTGTATAATTCAATGGTTTTAGTATATTCACAGATGCAACCATCACCACAATCTAATTTTAGAACCTTTTCATTCCCCTGTGAGCAGTCACTCCATACCCTCCCTGCCTAGCCCCAGGCAGCCATTAATTTACTTTCTGTCTTTGGAGATTTGCCTCCTCTGGACATTTTATTTAAATGGAATCATACATTATAAGTGGTCTTTTGTGCCTGGCTTCTTTTCATTTAGCGTAAGTTTCAAGGTTCATCCATGTTGTAGCATGTATCAATATTTTGTTCCTTTTTATTGCCAAATAATATTCCATTGCATCACTATACTACATTTTGTTTCCTCATTCACCAGTTGATGGACATTTGGGCTGTTTCTACTCTTTTTATTATGATAAATAATGCTGCTATGAACATATTTGTACAGGTTTTTGTGTGGATGTATGTTTTCATTTCTCTTGGGTACAAATCTAGGAGAATTGCTAGATCAAACAATAACTCTTTTTAATATTTTGAGGAACCACTGAACTGTTTTCCAGTGTGGCTGTACCATTTTATATTCCCATTAGCAATGTATGAGGGTTCCAATTTTTCCACATTCTTGTCGACATTTGTTACTACCTTTATTTTTTTTTTTTATTGTAGCCATTCTAGTAGGTGTGAATTGGCATCTCAATGTGGTTTTGATTTGCATTTCCCTGATGGTTAATGATGTTGAAAAATCTTTTCATGTGCTTATTGGCCATTTGTATATCCTCTTTGGAGAAATGTCTAATCAGACACTTTGCCCATTTTTAATTTGGGCTATTATATTTTTATTATTGAGTTGTAAGTGTTCTTTATATATTTTGAATACAAATCCTCATCAGATGTATGATTTACAAGTATTTTCTTCCATTCTATGGGTTATCATCACTTTATTAATGGTATTATTTGCAGCAAAAGTCTTTAAAATTTTAAAGGTTCAATTTATTTATTTTTTCTTTTGTTGCTTATACTTTTGGAGCCTTATCTAAAAAGACTTTGCCTAACCCAAGGTCATGAAGATTTATTCTTATGTTCCCCTTCCTTTTATTTATTTTTTATTTTAATTTTTTTGGGGGGAGGGGCAGAGGGAGAGGAAGAGAGAGATAATCTTAAGCAGGCTCCATGCCCATCACAGAGCCCCAGGCAGGGCTCAATCTCACAACCCTGAGATCATGACTTGAGCCAAAATCAATAGTCAGACACTTAACCGATTGAGCTACCCAGGCGCTGCCCCCCTTCCTTTTAATAAGTATAACTCTTTGGGCCAGAATGCTTTCAGAACAAAATTAACTTTTGAATAAGAAACATTATTTATTTTAGGCAATTTGCATTAAAGATCATCCATTAAGGAAAGCAACAATGAATAATTTTTGTTATTTCTTTCATTTTCTGTGAAAAACAATTGAAATGGTATCAAATATTTGCATAGTATTGACAATTTTAGTTTGTTAATTACTATTCTTATGTGTGTTGTTAAGAAATTAAAAAATAGTGTTGCTAGTTACTGTGGTTTTTACAATAGATTTTATCATTGTGGACAGTCAGTTTTTAGAAATGACAGAAAAATGAATGAATGTAGAACTGTACATTCTACAGGGTTGTGAGTTCCAGCCCCATGTTGGGTGTAGAGGTTATAAATAAGTAAACTTTATTTATTTATTTATTTATTTATTTATTTATTTA